CCACCCCTCTGTGGGGTGTCTTGAAGGTGCCAGTGTATTGTCTGTTTCTCAGGAGATCAAAGTATCTGAGTTTCCTGAGTTTCTTTTATCCTTACACATTTCTTTAGTACATGACATTAGACTTAGGACAGTAATTCAAAGCAGTAATTCTCATATGTGAAAAATAATTTTTAAATGTGAAGTACAATGGTTAATCTTAGGCCTGTATGAAACAAGCTACTAATCTTTCCAGATATTTTCCTTAACAGGTTGTTTGTTCTAATATATCAGGGCTCAGGTTAAAGTTCATTGTTTATTCAGAAATATGCCAAGTGGGTGAAGGGAAGGGCAAGAGTTTGTGAATTTAGTAGTAGTGGAATAACTTTAGCTATTCTAAAATCACTGTTAACAACGGCTTCAAGGCCTTATTTCTTTTTAAATGTTTACTACACATACCAAGTTTTCATAAACACACAGCAACAAAATGTAATAATTTATTGAAAACAAATAATGATTCCTCGGCTAAGCAATGCCTTCTTCAGCAACTTTCAGCAGAACGGTTGGCAGCTACAGACAGACGCAGCAACACATAGCATGGTGCAGTAATAGAATATATATATGTATATATTGAGGGTTATAATGCAAATTTAACATCATGCTAAAGATTACATGCAGCCCTTAATTTAAAGGGATCCACTACAGTTGTAATAAAATTATCTAAAAATTATAATGTTCAGATTATTGACTATTATTGACACCAGTGAAGTTAAGTGTCACTTATTCACATCAATTGTTCACAATTATCATTATTACTAAAACAAACAAACAAACAAAAAACAATAATTTTATCAAAAGACCTTGCTGTTATATCCACAGTAGCATAAATAATGTGCAGTGAATGAAGATTTATTAAATAAGAGGTCTTATCAGTTACATCAGTAGTCAGATATCCAGGCTAAATATAAACATTAAATTTAGGTATTAAATAAGAGAACAATCCTAATAGGTTTCCTAAAAAGTCCTGAAATCAATTTCCTAAAATAAATGTTAGATTTGGATAACAAAACCACAAGCTTCTGTTACTTTTTTTTTTTTTTGTGGATGACTCTCTACGGTAATCAAAGTATCTCTTAACTCTTAGGATCTGTATTATCTTTTAGTCTACTTTTGTAAGATTAAGACCATTGTACCACTCACCCTGACACTATTCAAATGCAAACATGACTGTAAATCTTATTTGCATTCATATAGAACATTATATTCTTGACCATTCTGAGTGAATCCAGTGGAGGGAGCAGATGAAAAGGCACTGATGCATATGTGAGAGAGGCGTTTCCTGCACCACCCCTCTGTGGGGTGTCTTGAAGGTGCCAGTGTATTGTCTGTTTCTCAGGAGATCAAAGTATCTGAGTTTCCTGAGTTTCTTTTATCCTTACACATTTCTTTAGTACATGACATTAGACTTAGGACAGTAATTCAAAGCAGTAATTCTCATATGTGAAAAATAATTTTTAAATGTGAAGTACAATGGTTAATCTTAGGCCTGTATGAAACAAGCTACTAATCTTTCCAGATATTTTCCTTAACAGGTTGTTTGTTCTAATATATCAGGGCTCAGGTTAAAGTTCATTGTTTATTCAGAAATATGCCAAGTGGGTGAAGGGAAGGGCAAGAGTTTGTGAATTTAGTAGTAGTGGAATAACTTTAGCTATTCTAAAATCACTGTTAACAACGGCTTCAAGGCCTTATTTCTTTTTAAATGTTTACTACACATACCAAGTTTTCATAAACACACAGCAACAAAATGTAATAATTTATTGAAAACAAATAATGATTCCTCGGCTAAGCAATGCCTTCTTCAGCAACTTTCAGCAGAACGGTTGGCAGCTACAGACAGACGCAGCAACACATAGCATGGTGCAGTAATAGAATATATATATGTATATATTGAGGGTTATAATGCAAATTTAACATCATGCTAAAGATTACATGCAGCCCTTAATTTAAAGGGATCCACTACAGTTGTAATAAAATTATCTAAAAATTATAATGTTCAGATTATTGACTATTATTGACACCAGTGAAGTTAAGTGTCACTTATTCACATCAATTGTTCACAATTATCATTATTACTAAAACAAACAAACAAACAAAAAACAATAATTTTATCAAAAGACCTTGCTGTTATATCCACAGTAGCATAAATAATGTGCAGTGAATGAAGATTTATTAAATAAGAGGTCTTATCAGTTACATCAGTAGTCAGATATCCAGGCTAAATATAAACATTAAATTTAGGTATTAAATAAGAGAACAATCCTAATAGGTTTCCTAAAAAGTCCTGAAATCAATTTCCTAAAATAAATGTTAGATTTGGATAACAAAACCCCAAGCTTCTGTTACTTTTTTTTTTTTTTGTGGAAGTTCGGGGACAGTTAAAATGATTCGTGAATATTAATATTCCTCTTTAATATCTTAATATCTGAAACTCATTTGTTAATTTAAATAGTATTACTACATTAATGCTTTAACACTAAACCACTAAGTGGTTATACGGTGACACTTTATTTTAAGGTGTCCTTGTTACACATATTACATGTACTTACTATTATAATAACAATAAATTATGCATAATTACATGCAAGTAACCCTAAGCCAAACCCTAAACCTAACTCGATGCATATTGTAAATACATGTAGTTAATAAATATTACTCAGTTCTTAAGTGTATTACACTGTAACAAGGACACCTTAAAATAAAGTATATATATATATTTATTTATTTCCATTTTCTTGGCACCATGTTAGCCCACCCTGTCACATAGAGGCCTGCTGTGTCTTGCATAGGTAGATTTGTGTGGATAAGCTTTGATCAATGGATTTTATAGACTTTATTTCATTGTTGTGTAAGATTAGAGACGCCTACTGCTAATGCCTCAAAACACATGCTGCTGTGTGATGCAATCCCCTTGACCTGACAGATCAGATCAACAAAAAACATCAAGCACAACAGAATCTCAGGACAATGCAATATGGCAGCAGTTATCTGTCTGAAGCGTATTTAATCCATATATTGTTTGCATGTGTGTGTGGCAGAGTGTTAACAAAAGACAGCTGCTCTTTTCAGAATTGGGGTGTAAAGGACCCAAATCTTTCCTAGTAAGATCAGCCATGCTGTATGTATACCATAATCTTCTTTAAGGGTCAGATTATGAAACAAATTGAGGAGCTGCATAGCCAGTGAACTCCTATTGGGTTCAATTGGACTGAGATAAACTGGACTGGTACATATTTCAAATACAATGCCTTATTTGGCAAATAGCCTCCATACAGTTGCATCTAATATTTGTAATCCTTATATGCTCACATCTTTTGCTAATAAAGAATCAACAGTCTGAAGTATTGTGCTGCTTTTATTTTATGACCTGATTTGAGCTACATCATTACCAGGGAAAACAAAGACTAGTTGCAAAGAACAAATGCTCATTCTTGTCAAGAAAGAACTGTTTACAGGTGTATTATGCAATAGACATAAGACGTTGATGTTTATAGGCATATCTCAGAGGTCAGTTATAAAATATTACTCAGTGGTCAGCAATAAATACCATATTGGTCTTTGATGTGACGCCATTTCTTGCATGGGAGTGGAAAACAGCACAGTCATTCTCATTCATTTAATACATTATTATTATTATTATCTATCTATAGGCTAATTAAAATAAATACTGCTAAAGCATCATTTAATATTTCCTACAGATTAAACTACTATGCCACTGGATAAAATATGGTGGACTATTTCAGTTACATCAATCACATGCTAGGTATTTTATACGTTCTTTAGATTATTTGCGAAATGCAATTACACCTAATAACCAAGGAAAAGATTAGTAGGCATATGTGTTGGTACAACTACAAACTCCATCATTTGTTGGTCCCACAGTAATGCTTTCATAATCTCACTAAATGCAAAAGTCAGTTTTACATTTGAGCAAGGCTATAAACCACGGTGCAAAGGAGTTCAATGTAATATTTTTATATTCGTATTTTATGAGTGGCCAGAGGGTGGCGTATTTTTACTTCTACGTGCTGCGCAGTTCATTTTTTTTCTGGAACAAACAGATCGTATTCTACCATTCCAGAAAGTTCCGAGTCTCCTTAAATTAAGGCTCTAATTTGAAAATCAACAGATTCTTTTTAACAATCTGTCAACAGACCACCTTTAAAAAGTAAACGGTTTTAAACAATACTGAAAATCCATGTATGTAGCACGGCGGATGCGAGATGCATAGTAGACATTTAATAGGCTATAAAGAAAAAAAAAAACAACTACATGGAATGCTGTATTCAGATGCGTTCTTCTTGATGTTATGTACAATAACGTTAATGCTGGTTCGCAGACACTGTTGCTAGACAGGGACACCCGAGTGCGTAAAAATAGACCATATTCGTTATGTAACACGCAGCACGCGCACTACGACTTCACGCTTGTTTACAAGTTAGAATAGACTGCATGACTCTGTGATCTTAATAACTGACATATGCGTTTTCTCACTCCCACAAGTGCGTATTTTCACAGTGTAAAATGAACATTGGGTCTGACTAAATTATATTTCTGAAACAGCTACAGGGCTCATCTGTATTTGTCGTCATTGCTTGTTTAAAAAAAACACTCAAATGTGTGTATATCGAATGTGTTTGGAGTACACTGTAGGTTTATTCAAGTTCTAGAATACAACATGTCAATGTAGGCTATATGGTCGCTAGCGACATAATAAAACATTTTACAGTTAACAAGACGCAAAGTCTCTGCAGCACTGAAGTGCGTAGACTATATACAGTAGATGTGTCATCCACATAGCACTGTTTGTTTTGAGAGGAGGAGAGAACAGCTTGTGTAAAGGGGGATTTGCCTATACTACGTCACGGATTTGTCAAAGTGCTGTCAATCTTTTCGCCTGGCCAATGAATCCAATGAGAAACTCCATTCGTTGGCTTGGCAGGCACGCCTCTAAAAGATAACACCGCCTTATATGACTGTTTTTTTCTCGCTGATCCAAGATGGGCTGTGTATAACGTCACATGTTGTTTGTTTTTTAAGCTCAGTCATTCTGAGCGAGGAGTTGTTTTGCGGCGAACTAATAGACATCGCATTTTGAAAGAGAGCGGAAAAATCCAATTCTCGGATATTTAAGTTTTTCATCTCTTTTTCTACGGATGGATAAAAAGTTCTTGAAACTGAATAAATAAATTTTAAACGCAAGAATGGCAAGTCCGCCTCTTAAAGGGGGACCCGCGTTATCAAATGACAACAACATTCATTCAAACAACATCAGAAAATGCGGATACCTCAAGAAGCAAAAGCACGGACATCGGCGCTATTTTGTTTTGAAGGATCAGAGTGACGGACTCCCTGCGCGGCTGGAGTATTATGAGAATGAAAAGAAATGGAAAAACAAGTCCGCTGCAAAAAGAGTCATATTCATCGACTCCTGTCTGAGCATAAACAAGCGCGCTGACGCGAAACACAGATATTTAATAGCACTATATACCAAGCACGAGTATTTTGCTGTTGCTGCGGAGAATGAGCAAGAGCAGGAGAGCTGGCACGCATACTTAACCGATTTATTAAGTAAGGGAAAAGTGTGTGACAGTTCCGTTTCTAGTTCGGCATCATCTCTGGTGGGCTTCGAGGAGGGAAATTACGGTATGATTACACCAGTGAATGCCGCGTATAAAGAGGTATGGCAAGTAAATCTTAAAGCAAAGGGACTTGGGCAGAGCAGAAATATCACTGGAGTTTACAGACTGTGCTTATCAAGTCGGACAATTAGCTTTGTGAAACTTAACTCGGAGGTGGCATCTGTGACACTGCAGTTGATGAATATACGCAGATGTGGGCACTCTGATAGCTTTTTCTTCATTGAGGTGGGAAGATCTGCTTCTACTGGACCCGGAGAGCTGTGGATGCAAGCAGACGATTCTGTGGTGGCACAAAATATACATGAGACCATTTTAGAAGCTATGAAAGCGTTGAAAGAGCTGTCAGAGTTCAGACCACGCAGCAAAAGCCAGTCATCAGGATCAAATCCCATCTCTGTACCCACTCGGCGGAACCTAAACAATCTACCCCCTAGTCAGACGGGGTTGGTGAGGAGGTCAAGGACGGACAGTACAGCAGCAACATCTCCTGTCCCCAAATTTTCCTCTTGCCGAATACGCACAGCAAGTGAAGGGGAGGGCACCATGACCAGTCCTGTCTCCATGTCAATATCTGAGAATGGGAGCCCGATAACTGTTGGCCGGAACCACATGAGCAGATCTAACACAGTCTCTGTGGGCTGCCGGACATCAGAACCATCACTGCTTCATCACAGCAGGTCCATGTCCATGACAATGTCCCACTCGCCACCATCTGCTGTAAGCCCACTAAGTTTGTCCTCAATCAGTATGAATGGATCCATCTCATCTGCAGTACACAGACCCTCCAGCTGCAATGATTCTGTTTCTGGGTCACCCAACGATACTGGCTTCCTCTCATGTGACGATTACAGTTCTAGCCCAGGGGATGTGAGGTACAACCTAGCAAACAGGAGTGACACTCCTTCTTCTCTCTCCAGTACACCACCCTCACGAGAAGCCAGTGAGCTCCATGGTTACATGGTGATGGACAGGCCAACCCAAAACAAGATGTGGCCAAGTAGCAGAGAAATGCTGGATGTGGAGACATACCGGAAGAGGACGTATTCTCTGACAACCCCGCGGCAACAGGTAGCACACTCCCAGCTATCTTCAGCATCATTTGATGAATACATGCTGATGAGGGCTGCGAACAGCCACTCTGGACGGAGCACAAATTCTGCCTCTTATAAGGTCTCATACCCAGAAGATTATGGGGACATTGAGGTTGGCTCTAACAGTAATGTGGGTGATGATGGCTACATGCCTATGACACCAGGCATGGCACCTCAGGGTGCCAAAAATGATCACTACATGCACATGAGTCCTATGAGTATTTCAGCACCCAAGCAGATCATTAACCCGAGGTTACATCCCCAGCCCACAGGCAGTGGCTGCACTACTAACTCGCCCAGCAGTGGATCTCTAGAAGACAGCGGGTACATGAAGATGTGGTCTGGATCCAAGTTTTCTCTTGAGAGCTCTGACGGGAAAGCGGTGAGTGGAGAATACATGAATATGTCGCCTGTTGACTCATGCGTCTCGCCCACACCACCAGATTATTTGCTGGGTCAGTGTGAACCAACACAACGGCCCTCCCCATCTCTAAGTATTCGCTTCAACAAGCAACAGGCACCTAAACGGGCAGAGGATGACCAGTATGTTTTGATGAGTCCCCAGAGCCAAAATCCAACAGAAGAGGCAAACAGGGTTTCTGCCCTGCCCCCTCTCCGTCGCCCAGATGGCATAGCACACAGAGCAAGAGTCAACAGGCCCAATAGGTTATCTCTAGACACTCTGAGGATGCTTCCCAGCATGACAGAACATCCTCTCCCTTGTGAGCCTAAAAGCCCTGGTGAGTACATCAACATAGACTTTGCTGCTGCTACACAGTACTCTTCTCCCTCTATGGTTTCTGTGGAAAGCCAAGGCTCATTGTCCAACCTCAGACAGGGATCCCCCCTCTCAGACTACATGAATCTCAACCAGAATTCACACTCTCCTAAACTGAGGGAAGCACTCAGCAGTCCCCTGGATGGAATGCCAGAGCTGGCTGAATGCCCATGCCCACCTGATGAGAGGGCTTTTTTCCTCAATGAACAGAGGAAATCACCATGCCCATCTGGCACAGGTAAAGATAACTACACTGAGATGAGTTTCAACAATGGTCAGATCTCACCTCCATTCCTGACTGAGAATGATGGGAGTGCTTCAGTCAGCCCCACTAGCAGGGTTCAAAGGCTTAATTTAAGCGACCAGGGGGTTTCAACTGGAATTGGTGCTTTCTTGTTGGCTGCCTCCTCTGTAGACCCAAATGGAGGAGCGAAGGTGATCCGAGCAGACCCTCAGGGCCGGAGACGGCATAGCTCTGAGACCTTTTCATCCACCACCACAGTTGCACCTGTCTTTCCTTCCTTTGCACACAATGTTAAGCGCCACAGCTCTGCCTCAGTCGAGAACATCTCTGTCCGAAGCAGTGAAGGTTCTGATGAGGAGTATGGGTCTCCCATGTGCCGAGAGACTTCAGCTGGTTATCAGAATGGACTTAACTACATTGCCTTAAACCTCATGGAGAAACAAGAGATGGGCAATTGTGAGCTTGTGGGCTTCAAGACTGGTGGTTGCTGCAAAGCAGGAATAAATGGATTACATGCAACTTCATATGTGTGTCTGGGATTCAAAGAGACTGCTACCACTGTACAAGGTGAGTTCAGATGATGTGATGGGCTGTTACATTTGAAAAGATGGCTGAAATAAACTGGTAAATGCAGCACATGAGGTTGATGCCATTGTGTTGGACAGTGTGGTTAAAAGTCACCTTTATTACGGTATTATTATAAATTAAATGCTACTTAAATATTGCAGTGCTTCTAGATAGGCACATCCAAATCAAATATATATATATATTAACTATACTATATATATATTATATGAGCAATAGCAGGAGATTATATTTGATTATATTAGTGTTATTGTGTGTTATTACTTTATAAAATGTACTTAAAACTGTATTAAAATGTTTTCAGTTGTCTCTAGGTACCATATACTACATGTTTGCTTGTATTTATTTTAATTGTAAAAGTGAATATTATAGGATATTTAGGACACAACTGTATCAAAATTATTCAGTAATTTTACAAAAAGTAATTAAACAAAACATTAGGGCGGAACGACAGTTTTATGTAATTCAAAACATTTATTGAGGTTTGCACCTCTGGCAATTTATGTAAGTATATGGGGCGTTTATGGCGATGATAAGGTGTTTTTCATTCAGAGGAATTCCAGAGAAATCTGAAGCGTGAGAAACGTGACTAGCTCAGCGGCCGCGCGCGGTAAACAACCCAACTGCGCAGGCACGATGACGCTGCAAGATAGAGGGGTGCGCGCGCCTGTTTATTTACCCCAAACTTGATCGACGCTGGGCTTTTATAGACTGGAGTGTGTTAATGATTAACACTGTTTTAATGTTTGTAGACTTTCGTATAAGCTGTTCTCTGAGAATGGAGCATGCACTGAGGAGAGAGAAACGTTATTTTGAGGTTCATTTGGCTCACATGCGCAGCAGTGTTTTCATTCTGAGACCATAGCCTCGTCGATCCTTTTCCAAGAAACTAATCAGCGTTTACTTTAGTGCTGAAAGCAGATCTGTTATAATTTCACATTATATTCTGAATTTTGTTATGCCCTGTTTACTCCAACATAATAAAGCAAAATGCTATTAAATTTCCCATTAACAGGGACACTAATATAAGGATAAGAACGATTCCTATATCAAATCTTCTTCACACATGACATATATTTCTTTCAGAAGTGCATGTGCTAATTTGCCTACTTGAATCATATGTGGGCGTGTGTGAGATCGAATTGCTGTCACAAGCTGGAACAATATGCTGCTCTTAAGAGCAGTGCCTGGGGCTTTTCCATGTGCACACTGTTTTTGCATAGCACACAGAAGACAGAACATGCCATGTTCTGAGGCATGCACTTCACATCATCTGGTTCACCCATATTTCCATAATGCCTCAGAAGCAGTGTTGTGGCCCAAAATTATCCCCACTGGTTAAAAAGACCATTCATGGCTGGTAGTTTTCAGTGTAGCCTGCAGTGTAAACATCAGTTAGAGGAGGGATAGTTCACAGCAGTTTAACTCTTTCTTGGCTGGAGTATTGAGAGGGCAGGAGGAGGTGGGGGTGAGAGCTTGTTTGCATTTTGTGTCTGAAATGAACATGTGCAACCATGTCCACGGCTTGGCAAAGCAGAAGAGGGAGAGCCTGATGGAAGCTTGAGCCATGTGCTTCCATCAGGAGGAAAAACAAGCCAGTTGGTTGTTTGTGGTTCGTTGTCAGGTAACGATGATGTTTCACGCTCGGAATGCCTGACTGGGTAAAGGTTGCTGGGAGAGGCGAATACTCGCTTGTTTTGGTTTCACCTTGAGCTTTAGTATTGTTCACTCTCTCTCAACTCATTGCCAGGCTTTAATTTCACATACAATGTGTTGACAAGAACTTGTTTTGCATCAAAGAATGCCAGGGACTCTCAAACATAATGATGCTTTCACTTTTGTATTCAAACTGTGAAGCATTTATGTATGGGTTTCTTATGTAGAAAAAATTTCAGACAGCTCAGGTGACGATTTTATTAATTAAAAATTGTTATCATAGTTGCAGAAAAAGAAACCACATTTACAAGCAGTGCTGGTCATGCCCCATCTGGTTGAGTTCCTCACAATTAATGTACTTTTGAATGTTGATTCTCCGTTGGTTGGATTATCAGTAAAACTTTATTTTAGCATAGGAGAATGTTCCTAGGAAGTGAAATTGGCTTGCAGTGAAATTGGCTTGGTAAATTGGCATCCCCAAAGGGATGGCACCCTGGGTGGTTTTCTGTGTCGCCTAATGGGTTTAATATATTTCCCTGTTTACAAGCACATTACTGTGCAGAAATACGTAATGTAAATGGCTACGAATGGTAAAAGCTAGGCATTATTTCCACATGAGAGCAGCAGGAAAAGAACATGCATGGGCATGACCAGAATATGGACATTAATCTGAAAATGATGTGCATGTAAACATGTTCCTGTTGCTCCCCATACAATTTTTTTTTAACATTTTGAGATGCTGATACTTTAAAGATGTACCTTTAAAAATAATAATAATAAAAAATAGCAGAACAAAAATAAATATTGTTCAAGAATTCACACATTCATGAATCAACAGGGTTTCTTTTCATTTATTTTTATTCTTTTCAGGCATTCTTGCCAAAAGTGTATTGTTTTGCAATAATTTGTTAACATTTATAATTATATGTATGTCTCTGTATGGATTTGTACACTCTAAAAAATGCTGGGTTAAATACAACCCAGTGCTGGGTAAAATAGGGACAAACCCAGCAATTGGGTTGTTTTGACCCAGCGGTTGAGTTACTATCCAGAAGGTTGGGTTAAACATTTAACCCAACCTCTGGGTCAAAACAACCCAATTGCTGGGTTTGTCCCTATTTTACCCAGCACTGGGTTGTATTTAACCCAGCATTTTTTAGAGTAACACATCTCTGTTAATGTCCCTTACTGCTCTTGTGCTGTTATAAACAAAGATGTATTAATCAGTTAACACCTTGGTGTACAACATATGTAAAAGTTAGAAAGAAAAGAGTACTATCTTGACCAAGAAGCTGTTTTGAGACATTTAGTACATAATGAACTTTTTTTCTCTCTTTTGTTCACTCACTCACTCTCTCTTTTTCTCTGGAATCATATTTCTAGAGGTGTTTGTGTGCATTTGCGTGTGTGGCAGATGGCTGAGCGGAGAGGGGTGTGTGTGTGTGTGTGTGTGTGCACCTGCCGCTCTGCTCACCGCAGGTCTGTTATCAGGCATGGCAGCAGCACAGACAATACACTAATGACAGCACGCCATCTGCTTCTGCCCCAGGACAGTGGCTAGTGCTTGTCCCTTCAGCCTGAGAGGGGCAAGGGGTGGGGGAATGGAGAGCTAGAGAACCTGTGTGATAGACAGAGAGATAAAGATTGAAAGTGGTTTGCAGAGAGAGAAGAAATTAGGAGAGATGTTTTAAATTTGGACAAACTTTTTTTTACTGAAATATGTTTTTCCTTAAATACTGAAACCAAAATGAAAGTTTTCAGTTAGCCAAAAACCAAATATGAAGTTTTGTCAATTCATTTTGGGTCATTGGGTAATTAAATTATTTTTCATGGTGTCTTGTTCTCTGGTGATTGATTAAACCAGTCAAAGTTCTTTGGAAACAAGTTGCCTCTTGATATTTCAGCCAAACAAATTTTCTCATACTCTGTTGTCATTTTTGGTCACAGTGAAGTGTGCCACCCTGCTGACATGTTTACTTGTTGCTTATCCACATTCTGTAAGAAACACTAACATGCAAAATCAGAGAAGTGCTAGTTAAGTATCGTTTCAGCCAATGATTTTAGTCCTCAGAAACTTTTGTTGAAACTTTGTTGTTTTAATATTTTCAGTTGCTTAAATTTTGATGCATCACTTTAAAAGAATTGGCCACACAAAAATTTGCTGAAAATGTACTCACTTAATGAAGTGCTGGGCAATATGGCAAAAAAATAAAATCTTGACTTTTTTCAAAACATTTGACCGAATTCTATTTTGATTTTTAAACATTCAACTAGTCAACTTAAACATGTAACTACAACATGATTCACATATAATTCTCTTTATTTAAAACATACAAAACCATCTGGTTAAAGAAAGTTCTGTTCACTTGTTAAAATATTGTTGCAGAAAAGAAACATAAAATTTGAAGGCAAATATTGTACAAACTTAAACATATCCTATATGTTCAGAAATAATTTCGGTTTAGAATATAGAAAGAATATAATATAATAATTTCTATTGTAATTACTAAGAAAAAAATGCTAAATATTTCTTAGCATTTAGTTAGGATTTATTTAGTTACATTCAGTTTAGAGGTCAACCCAAAAAGTCAAAACAATTTAAGTTCAAAGAGACTAAAAGTACAACTACAGCAGAATATCATTAACAGTAAATGTTTTGTAAAAACAAAGAAAATAACAGAAACTTTCAGCCTGTCACCATCATGCAAACATGAATGAAACATGCAGTAGTAGTCCTTGACAGGTTATTGCATTCCACTGTGCTTTCCATATTTTTTCTAGCGACCCACGCATGAATCGGCATTCTAAATATGGCACAAGTTAAAAAAAAGTTCAGCTTTCATCTCATAACCTTGTGTTTTCCTTCTATTCCACTGCCCGCTTCTTGGGGTTTTCTGTGTGAAGAACCCTTCGGGACTATAGTGATATGTTCTATGTTTTGGTCCTTCATAGAGCGCATCACACATGAGCGGTTAATCAGATGCCCTGTTATCATTGATGTAGTGCCAATGTGTCTAATTGTAACGTTTGCTCATATTCTTATCCAAAACTATGATTCCTTGATGAAAAAAAAAATTATTGTCAAAAATTACATTTGAATAAATAGAGAAAACTGGAAACATCACCCAGCCATACCAACAGGCCATTCAAGATGTAGATGAGTTTGTTTCTTAATGGAAACAGATTTGGAGAAATTTAGTATTACATCATCAATGGGTCCTCTGCAGTGACTGGGTGCCATCAGAATGAGAGTCCAAACAGCTGATAAAAACATTACAATAATCCACAAGTAATCTACACAACTCCAGTCCATCAGTTAATGTCAGTCATCTTGGATGACCTGAGTACATTTTCAGCAAGGGTGAACTATTCCTTAAGGGTGTGAAATGACACAATTCATACAGTTGGCTGAATGTTAATGTGTGTAAACAGCTTGCACGTGTTTTTGTGTAACTTTAGCACGAGGACAGTGAGTGTGCATTTTCCGAGAACTTAGTTACTATTCTACTACACTTTCAAAAACTAGGCTATCTCTCCCTATCTCTGTTTCTCTCTCACTCACTTTCCTCGTGTCAAATTATAGAATGATTTATTACTATTTCCCAGTATGTTATTTATACGGTCTCTCCACACATTTAGATACTTAGATATATTCTGGGATAATTACAACTTCACAGCTTACATACCACAACAATGTAAACATCAGTCAATTACCATAGAAAAGTATTTCATTTATTTACTATTAATATATATATATATATATATATATGTATATATATATATATATATATATATGAAACATGTTTTATAGTAATACAGAAGAAGCTTAGACCTCATCACTACTCTTTTGACTAGTTATGTGAGTCTAAACTGAATATTTGGCCATTTCTTTGTTTTTTTTAGGAGGTGCTTAATATCAGTTCCCAAGACCTTATAACTCTAATCCAAGTTCTAACTTTAAACAAGCTGAGATTTAAGCAACAAAAATTGTTAACCCAAGCAGTTCTCTCAGATTCTCCACCTCTGCAGAGCTGGCTAAACTAGGCCGGGATGTTCCCGCCTGAGATAGCCATGTCAACACTGTCAATGTTACCCACATTTAGCCAGGAGCGAGAGGAGATTACTCTTAGGGGAGAGTGGGGGATTAGACATTGTTCAGCGGCTTGTTTTGAGGCGGATGAAAGGAGCATTGACTCAGACATAGACAGTCATTCATGCAGGTTCACAACAACCATGTCCTCAAGTAGACGTCACAACATTTCCGGGATGGTTTTGCGCAGATTCATTAGCTTTTGTGTCTCTGCCGATTATAGACCTAGATTTTAACCCATCACTGTGGAAGGATATATAACCCTTATTAAATCCACAGCTTAGATTGTTTATTAGAGGACTCAGCTGCCCTCTTGTTGTTCCACAGTTGTGATATCTCTATCCAGTGATGCGCAATCTAGCAGAGACGCTATGTCATGCGTGCATTAAATCAGCATTGCATGACTATTTCCCAGTCCCAGGCATCACTCACTGCTGCCTAGAGCTTTCAGCCTTACACACTGCATTATAGGCTGCAGACATGGTTGTTGGTAGTGTCATCATGCAAACCTTAAATCTCATCAGCTGAATAAAAAACAGGGAGGATAACCATTGAATTTATCTACTTGCATGCAAGCTTGAGCCTTTTGGTCTTGATTGGCAGTTGTAGTGTCGCATCCTTTCTGCTCATTGGCTCATTGAAGCTAATGCATTACTATACATTGACAGTTATATTCTGTGAAATGTTACCAGTATTGTACATGTAATAAGAGTGTTTTTGCTGAGTGTATTGCAGGGTAGGCAGAATTCAGGCAAAATTCATAACTGAATTGGCTCACTTTCAGTTCATGAGATGGAGTTTGAAATGAATTGGCCACACCCTGCTAAAAGTTGAACTGGAATTTGAATTGGAGTAAAGGTGAAGTGGTATGTGATATGGTAATTTTGAAAAATTCAACAGGTAATGACATTTTTAGAAATGACGTGGTTCTCTCTCCTGGTTCATACATTTGTTATATAACTAAATGTAAAGGTGTGTGTGTTTGTGTGTATATAATGTGGAGGAGTAATGTGAGGCCTTACAAAGGTCTCATTCCATAAGGAGGCCCAGATGCAAGTCAAAAAGGGAACAAAAGTCCAAAAGGGCAGACATTAGATCGAAAGACGCACACACAAACACAAGCCTTTACAAGGAGATCTCAAGGCCCTACTTAAAGTGAAATTGAAGAACGAACAGGTGTGACGTCATATCAAACTAAATGTGGCCAGCTCATTTTGGTGGTGTGAAGCAGCTTGTCAGAGCAAACTTTCTGGAAAACTTTGTGCTGGCTGTTAAAAACATCTAAACATGGATTTAGGATGGATTTAGGAATTTCAGGATAATTTCTTCACTCAATCCATTGAGGTCAGACATGAGTAAAACCATGAACAGATTCAAGAGCCGCTTTGTAGTTTATAAGTTGTATTTATAGTTTAAATTAGAATAACTGAAATTGAAAGTGAGGGGAAAAAAAGAAAAAGAAGTGTTAGTGTTTTGGTTGTAACTGGTCTAAACAGGTTTTTGCTTAGAGGGTCCAATTCATTTGAATGGAATTGTAAAAAAAAATTGATAACTTTTAAGATGCTTTGACATGGTTTGACTTAAGGGATTCTATACAATGCAAATATACAGTTCAGTCATGAAACTCTAGATGGCGCATTCTGACGTTGCTTGCAGCAGCAGCAGCAATAATCTACAACTAAATAAATAACCAACAGCAGCAGCAATTCAGCAGCAGCGTAGCAGATCTGTTCCGCCAAGACCAAATACATTAACATTGTCCTATCCATCACCATGCTAAAATGTTCCGAGAGTTGTCATGATTGAACTACAATTTTTTTTCTCTCAATACAAATAGAGCTTTAAAGATGTCTTCTCTTGTTTTCTCCCTCTTACTTTCAGATTGAGCAGGAAGCAGAAGTTACTCCTCCTGGTACTGAGGCAAAGTGGAAGCTCAACCAGCAACTGGTCTGGACTATGCTGCTGTAAATGAACTGTGACCGTTACACCTCATCCTAAAGCTGAACGTCAGTGATTATTCCAGTGAGGCCACTTTAACATGCTACTCCTGTTTTTACCATCTGCACCATTTTTCAGGAACTGCAAAGCTGCCGCTGCTCTGTTGGTAACAAGAGTCATGAAACCTACATGCCACTTGTATGTTTGAACATTTATTGTTGTTGATGTGAACACTTTGTTTTGGGGTTGTTCAAATTCAGAACAATGATTGGAATATAGTTTACCCTGAAATCTGTAATCTTTATTTACCTGACCTAAACAACTGTAAGGTACTTTTTGCCCTGTCGTACGAATAGCTATATTTGTGGCATTTTAGTAACTTTAAATGATAATGACTAAAAGATTTCAACAAGTCCTCTTTCGGGAAAAGACTTGTATTGATGTACTCCATTCAGAAGAGATAAATAATTCTGAATAATTTTTTCTTCAAAATTAAATGTTCTCATATGACCAATCCAAAGCCTTACTCTATCTATCTGCAAAATTGTGACTACGTATTTGGACCTAAACAATCAGAAAGTTATCAAAAATATAAGATATTTATTGTATTCACTCTATTTTTCTATAAATTTAGTTTATTCAATAATTACATAGTAAGTTGCTATATAAGAGTCCACTTTTGATATGCAGAGTTTCCTACCACTTAATCAGAGGTGGTTATTGCACAGAATATTTAATAACTACACAAATAGATATTATATTTCTGACCAAATACGGTCAGTCATTCACTCTTATGTTTCCTTAGATTCGTTGTCACTTTCTCACCTTGCAACATAAAACATGGCCATTCCCTTTTCTTCTGCCTCAAGTCATATTTTAGTTACCAGTTATATCATAGTTACCAGTGAATTAAGTTAAAAACACATGTATTAGACATCAGGGATGCACAGAAATGTTGGCTACAGAAAATCTGGCCCAAAAATGTCTGCCCTGTGTTTGTTTAGAATAGAGTTAGTTTGAAGTAAATATTACATTGATCAATATTGACACTGTGGAGCTGCATTATATATTATATTTAAATATTGAAACCATTTTGGAAACCAATATCTTATTGTAAAGTCACACCAATCAAAGAAAGTTAAAGTAATCATTTAAAAATTATTATTAACGGAATTGATTAGATTAATTTAAAAAATGAGCACTTTTGGTTTTCAGATTAGTGGATCCAGAATTAGGCAAGAATTTCTGTTCATTTCAGTGCATCATTACTACACTCTAAAAAATGCTGGGTTAAATATAACCCAGCGCTGGGTTAAAAAGGGACAAACCCAGCTATTGGGTTGTTTTGACCCAGCTATTGGGTTGTTTTGACCCAGCGGTTGGGTTGTTTTGACCCAGCTATTGTGTTGTTTTGACCCAGTGGTTGGGTTGTTTTGAACCCAACCGCTGGGTCAAAACAACCCAATAGCTGGGTTTGTCCATTTTTAACCCAGCATTTTTTAGAGTGTAGACAACAGTTTAATGCTTGTCTGTCTTAATCCGCTCACATTGGCTCTGTGTTGATATGTGGCAGTGATGTCTCATTCAACTAGATTGTAACACATGACGCATCTGAATGTCGAGCACAAAACCCACTTACATGAGAGAACTGATTAGTGGGGCAGAAAGAAAATGATCACAACATGAGTCATTTTTAGCCACTGTCTGCTTTTCCCTGTTTTATTTTGTTGTGAACTAAATAAAAGCTGTGATGTGCTTAGCATTTTCATAACATTTAAAAATACTCTTCATCAAACGCAATATATTAGTGTCTTATATTAAAATATTAAGCAAACTGCTAAGAAGAAAATAAACAAGAAATGCCAGATACTAAGCATTGCATTGGTGAAACATGTTTTGTTCATATCTTAATAAATCTAAAAACACATGTATAGCACTGATATAGATGTGTTGATAGTATTTTATGTTTAAAGCCCTGAAAAGGAGTGACACTAAATGACTAAATGAGTAATTTCTTGAGGTGATGGTACATATTCTACTTGATTCTTGGGAAGGTCTTGCTTCTTAGGTAGCTTTCATTCACCCTTTCTATATGCAATACTTACAAATCAGATTAGTTTACAAAGTGGAACCAAATGGATAAATATTATGTTAATATATTTGTTAAAAGATTTTACAGAGATATTGAATTTATGCTGTTTATACATTTCTTTCTGCCAACTTTTAAAGCTTATTTTATTTTGCTTTTTGAAACTAAAATATATATATATATATATTCAACAGTGTTCTTGAAGATCTCGAGTATAAGTATAAAAATATCTATTGTTTGTACGTATCAAAGGGTTAATATATTTTCAATATTTGCCAGGTTTAATTGAACAAGCTGTGTCTTCCATTGTACAAATGTCACATACTGTTCATTGTTATGCTGTTGAGAGATCATTTAATATATCCTTGATAAATATATTGCTTTTGTTTGTGTTGCAAAAGATAGTCACATGCAATAAATGAATTAAATCATTATTTAAGGAAAATAACAGTTTTATTGTTCTTTATATCCTTTCTGCAACAAATATGAAATATCAATAATAAAAAACCTAATGACGCTCAAATTATTACATAAACACCTACAATATTTTGCCATAATTTCCACCTCGTTACTGACACTGTGTCCCTAAGTTTGAGGGCAGTAGAGGAAGGAACACACAGTTCATTCATAAACAAGTGGACAGATTACTTCCTGTGGAATGAGCAGGACAGAGGCAAGTGTTTTTCTGTGCATATCATGATTCCCAGGCTCTCATTGACAGAACAGGATGCTAAAAAATCACAGTATTCCAATCTGAGCGAGACTGTGAGGTCCAGTCCAGCTCCACATGCCTCATTTTCTCTGTTATCGTCTGCAGGAAGCTAATAGATTTGTAAGACATCCTTCCTGCTTTCACTATACGTCATATAGTATCTGGATCATTCCTGTTACAGCATCACTTTGAGCTCTGTAAATGAAAATTAACACTGTGGAACCCTAATAGGGTGGAAATAAAGAGTTAAATTTAGCTAGATCAGTGTGGGATTGACAGTCTACTTACATGAGAGTGTTAGCTTAGGTTAAAGTTATTCTTTGCAACCATCTTTTGGAATTTTGATAATATCATATTTTACTCAAGGTTTTAAGTCTATTATCAAGACTAGATTATCAACATGTACTTATGCACATATACATTACTACATACGAGATGTTTATGTAGGTTATGCAGGACAATAACTAGACTTACGTTAAGACCATTTCAGAAATCAAAATATGTGCTGACTCATGCATGCACACGGGGAGATGAAACACCTGACAAACAAATGATCACGTATTTGTACTCACACAATGAAGCGCAAGGACAGCAGGACCTCTGTTAGATCACAGTGACTGGAGGGAAAAGGCAAGGGCACTGCGTTATGCAATAATCCATGTCAGTGTGCAGAGAACACACTGTGCCGGAACGGCAATTCCCCCTGCCTCTGTCCCAGGGCCTGTTTCTGAAATATTTGCAAAATGAATATGAAACGAGTCAATTAAAGCCATTTAATGTAGTGTTGCTAAGAGAACACTCTGTTTAGGTGGAAGCTTTGACCAAAAAAATCAGGCACAGACTTGTGCATGATTTTCCCCTTAAACTTTCATTACACAAAATAATGTTCTTTTTAGCAGCATCATATGACCCCTTTAAACGCAAACCCTGCACAGCAGACAATTTCATTGGTCAAATCAGTCTTGCAGTCACCAGTCTAAAAGAGTTTAGACTTCTGAAAAAGGGGCAGGGTTTGAAAATGCTGCATGGGACAGGTATCATTTTGGCCACATTTCTTTTTTATGTCACACTGACATAAAAACCACACTGTCTTCTTAATTTTCTTAATGAGTATTTTAGCAAATTTGTATAAGATAAAAGGACTTGTTTTCAGAGATTTTTCTCTGGGGCAGTACTCACAGTAAATGGGAAATTATTGGGATTCCCCAGATGTCAGACAGGCCTGTCTTTCCAGGACAATAAACCAGTGGTGTATGCCATAACCTGTACACTGCCTGAATAATGATGGTGGGTTGAAGAAGATGTTGAACCACTACAGCTTAAAAACGAAGGGTGGGGAAAGCCCCCATGTCTGAATGAAATTGTGTGGTCCAGAAAATTGGGTAAAATTAGTTGATGGACATAGTGAAGAAATGGATAATTAAGAAGGGGATAAAGACTATACAAGTATGTTCACATGCTGCTTGTGTTTGGTCTGTAACATAGTAAAATCTGTATTGACTCCAATGCATTTAGCACCCATAAATCACCTTCTTAGATATTCTCAGATACACAGTCTTGGTCCTGCTTTACTCACCGAATCAAGCTATCCTTCTGCATTCCAAACAACATACCTACGAACTAAACGAAATAGTTTATAATTAACTCTCTGCCATACTGACATCACATGCACATATACATAAGCACAAACACCTCGGCAATCAAAAGAGTAACCACTGTTTATGAAGAACCCATTAGTAGTCATGGTGGCAAACACGTACACATCCATCCATTATGCAAACACACATTATTTCCAGACAACGTGCAGCTTATTATACTCTCCCCACAGGGAAACAACAGCAATATGACCATTACACAATGTGTGAACTGTCTAATGGTAAACTCAACTAATTTGATTGGAGTTACAGTGCAAATACATTACAGTATGAATTGCCTGTAGAATTTAATTTTATGATTAACTTTTGTACAGCCAGAGATGAAAATGGGAAACTGTTGCTTGAAATTCTCTGGGGCATTTCTCATAGCCAGTTTCCTTTTAATAGTACACGTGAATGTACGCTTCACTTGTGATGCTTTGACATAGTGCTTTTATAGAGCCATTACAACAGGATGATTACACAAGTCTTGACACTAACAGAACAGAGGAAATGGATGAGAACAGATAACAGTGTTTGACAGCATGTTAATCTAATTGCTGGTAATACCCTGACTTGTCCCAATGA